GCCCTTTTTCATTTTCTGAAACTGAAACTCTGACCAATTAAACAATAACTTTCCCCACTCCTGACAGTCCAGTCCCTAGTCACCTGAATTTGCCCATTCTAGATACCACATATAAGTGAGCTCATGGAAGAGCTGTCCTTTTGTGACTGACTTATTTTAACATAATGCCTTTAAGGTTCATCTTGTTGTAGAATATATCTGAAACTGATTGTGTATAATCAGTTGAGATAACTCACTACCTTTAAGCCAGTCTGTAGCATATATCTGCATTTCCTTATTGCCTTCTAAAAAATATTTATTTTTATTTTTAATTTTTATATGTGTGCACATATTTGTGTTTATGTGTGCCACAGGCATGGAGGAGCCCCTCCCCAAGAGACCAGAAGAGGGCATCAACCCCCCTGGAACTGGAGTTATAGAGTTATGAGTTGCCATGTGGGTACTGGGAACTGAACCTGGGTCCTCTGCAAGAGCAGCAAGTGCTTTTAAGCATAGAGCTATTCTCTGACCCCTTTTCCTAAAAAAATAAAAAAATTGATTTATTTCTATATTATTTATATGAATATTATACCTGCATGTATGTAAGTGCATCCATGTCATGCAGTGCCCAAGGAGGACAAGAAGAGAGTGTCCCCCTGGAACTGGAGTTATGGACAGTTGTTAGCCACCAGATGTATGCTGGCATTCTAACCTGGGTCCTCTGCAAGAACTGCCAGCCAGTGCTCTTAACTGCTGAGCCATCTCTCCAGCCCTGTGTACATGCGTTTTAAATTTTTTTTTTTTTTTAATTAAGCTGAGGATAGTGGTGCACACTTTTAGTCCCAGCACCCAGGAGGTGGATCCCTGTGAGTTCAAGGTGAGCCTGGTCTACATAGCGAGCTCCAGGCCAGCTAGGGCTACAGGGAGACCCTGTCTCAAAAAGACCCCCCTAATTTTTTAAAATTATTTTTTATGTGTATGAGTGTTTTGCCTGCGTGTATATAAGCATGTCTGTCTCATGCAATGACCGTAGAGGCCAGTAGAGGGTGCCTGATCCCCTAGATCTGGAGTTACAGGGACTGGAATTAGCTGTCATGTGGTAGGAATGGAACCCTGGTCCTCTGTAAGAAGAGCCTGTGTTCCTAACTCCTGAGCCATCTCTCTAGCTCCTGCACATTTACTTTTAAAGGAAAGTAATTTTGAACACATTTTTGTCTCAATTTGCCAAATCCATAGTGCCAGCAGCCTGGTATTCTTGTCTGGGTGAGTGTATCTCCCTCTCCCAAGGATTTGCAGCCAGCATGGAACTCCTCTTCCCTGTTTCTCCTCTGTGTTGGGGGCTTCAGATCCCACACAAAGTTTTCTTCCCAAGCTTATGCTTTTCTTCCTCAAAGCAGTGTTTCCAGGACTGGGGAGCCGACTCAGCGGGTAAAGGTGTGCTACTTGCGCGAGACTGACAACCCAAGTTCTAACTGAGGAATCCACATAAATAACCAGATGTGGTGGTGCAGATCTGTAATCCTAGCACACCTACTGTGAAATGGGAGGTAGAGACAGGAGAATCAACTGGAACCCAGGCTTGGAGACATGTGACACAACATCAGAAACAAGAGAGATCCTGCCTCAGCAAGATGGAAAGCAAGAATTCACTCTGACTTCTACATGTGCGCTGTGGCATGTTCTCTCTCCCTCTCTCTCCCCCTCTACACACACACACACACACACACACACACACACACACACACACTATTGTTATCTCCACTTTACAAATGAGGAAACAGACACAGAGGTTAGGTGATTTGCCTACAACCTTTGTTCAAAGTAGTGAGTCTAACTGACTAACTGTGGGGTGCAGGATGTAGCCAGGATGCCTACATGAACTCCAGTTGGTGGCTCTGATTTTCTTTGAGTTCCACCAAGACCATCCACACAGGGCATGTAGTTAAACTGAGTGTAAATGCCAAGAACCTATCATCATCACTGTCACCACCACCACAGCAATAATGCCTAGCACTCTAGGGCTTCCTGTGCATCAGGCTCTGTCCTGGGAACGGTGCTCACATTTATCATGGATCATCCTCACAATGAACCCTAGAAGTTATCTTATTCATCTTATTCTCTGTCACACAGGAAGCTCAGAGAGGCTACACCTAGGAAGTGGCAAAATTTGAACCCAGGCCTGCCATACTGTAAAAATTCACGCTCTGCAACGTTGCCAGGCTCATTTCAGTTCATTTGCTTTATTTACTTGTCTTTTGGTGCTGAGGACTGAACCCAGTGCCTTGTGCATGCTATGCACATCCTCTGCTGCTGAGCTGCATCACCAGTCCTGCTTTAACCGTTACTATTATTTTATTTTGAGGCAGGCTAGCTTCAAACTTTTATTCCTCCTGCCTACATCTCTCCAGTTTGGGGATTACAGGTGCTCCTACACACCCAATTTTATACTTTTTCTTTTTCTTTAAAATTTTTTATTAGGGGACTGGAGAGATGACTTAGCAGTTAAGAGCACTGGCTGCTCTTGCAGAGGACTTGGGTTCAATTCCTAGCACCCGCATGGTGGCCAACAACTGCCTCTAACTCCAGTTCCAAGGGATTTGACACCTTCTTCTGGCTTTCACGGGCATTGCACACTTAGGGTGCACTTATAAACATGCAAGCAAAACACTCATGCATATAAAATAAAATTTAAAGAATTTTATTAGCATATATTAATTACACATAATGGGTTTCATTATATTTTCATATATATATATATACATAATGTATTTTGATTATATTCACCCCATTACCCTCTTCCCCTCCTGCTTAATCCCCTACCTCTTTCTGACTAGCTCCTTCTTTCTTTTTCTTTCTTTCTTTTTTTATAGTGTTTTAAGAACTAGAACATTTATTTTATGACTGATCACTGAAATCCTCCAGATGAACTGGATGCTGCAACAGCTGCCCTCTTGGGTTTTGATGTCCTTCCTTCATGGAATCCATGTCTGAATCTGTGATAGACATTTTTCAGGTGCCTCATCCACCTAGTCCTGGTAGTACTTTGTCTGTTAGCCTTGGTACTCCAGTTATACTTTCTCTTGCGCTTGGCAACGTACCACATTTGCCACAGGTCAACTTCTGAAGGTGACAGGCCTTAGAATCATAGTGGCAGCACAAAGTGTGCATCTTATTGTGACCCTTTCCAAATGATGACATTCCCTTCATTATTTTGTTTCTGCTGCCAAGGCCAAAGAGAGTCCCTTCTTTCTTTTTAAAAATATTTTATTTTTTAAAAATTTTATGTGTGCCGGGCATGGTGGTGCACGCCTTTAGTTTCAGCACTTGGGAGGCAGAGACCGGTAGATCTCTGTGAGTTCAAGGCCAGTCTGGTCTACATAGCCAGTTCCAAGCCAGCTGGGGCTACAGAGAGACCCTATCTCAAAAAAAAAAAAATATATATATAAACTGAGCATGGTCGTGCCTGCCTGTAATCATAGCACTCAAGAGGCTGAGGCAGGAGGATCAGGAGTTCAAAGCCAGCCTGGGCAAAACTCATCAATGGGTCAGAGGAGATGTGAGCCTGTGCTTTATAAAAAACAAAACAAACTGAAAAAAGAGTGTTCCCCAGTTTGGGTTTATCCAGTGTTTCCGTATGATTAAATTCAGGTTATGCAGGTCAGTGAGATGCTTCAGTGGGTAAATGCACTTGCCATGTAAGCCTAATGACCCGAGTCAGATCTTTGGAACCCAGGGCAGTATGAGAGAACCAGCTCCTGTGCCTGCATTTATATCATACATTCTCTCTCTCTCTCTCTCTCTCTCTCTCTCTCTCTCTCTCACACACACACACACACACACACACAAAGGCATAATAAATAAATAATAAGTGTATATTCACTGCACTTCCCCAGCTGGAGCCCTGTACTGTGACCTGTGCTGGACTTCTCACCAGAAGGCAGGCAGAGTCATCTGCCCCATGGGTGGTTATCTTAATCCCTCAGGTGAGATGTCTGATCCCTGTGCTTTAAACCCATAGTGTTATTCTGCCCCTTTCTAAAACTATCCCTGGAGAGTTATCCTTTGTTGATGACTTAAAATTTTTTTAAAAATATTTTTTATATTTTTATTTTATGTGTATGTGTGTATTGCTTGCATGTAGGTAAGTGCACCCGTGTTGTGCAAGGCCCGAGGAGGGCAGAAGAGGCTGTGGGTCCCCCCGGGTCTGGAGTTTCAGACAGTTGGTCGCTTCCATGTTGGTGCTGGGATTCGAACCCAGGTCTTCTGTAAGAACAACCAGTGTTCTTAACTGCCGAGCTATTTCTCCAGCCTGATGACTTAAAATTTTTTTTTGCATTTATTTATTATTTATTTATTTGGTGTGTGTGTGTGTGTGTGTGTGTGTGTGTGTGTGTGTGCATGCCATGGTGCACATATGGAAGGCAGAGGACACCTTCATGATGTCAGTTTTACCCTTCTTCCATATGGGTTCCAGGGATCGAACTTGGGTGGACAGACTTGGTGGCAGGCACCCTCACCTGATGAACCATCTCCCCTGCCCCATTGATGAGTTTTGCACAAAGCTGTCTCCACTTGTCCAGCTCCCTCTGATATCTTATCCCTTACCATCTAGTCAGGTGGTCTACTGGCCAACACCCAGCTTCCTGTATCTGATCCAGGTTCACAGCTCTGCTCAAAGTTCATTTCTTACGTGCAGCTAGGCCAGTTCACTGTGAGCAGGACCTGGGAGAGAACCTTCTCATTTCCTATTCCAGGAGCTTCCCTTTCTCAGTGCAGCTACAGGCTAGATTGAGGTGACCATACAGTTGTCCAATCACCACTGCCAAGACTCTCTCCTCCCAGCAGGTCTTGGAGTCTGAAATCCCACTATTGAGGCTGCAGTGCACTCAGCAGATGCCTGCAATAGATATCTAACAGTTAAAGCAACTGCTTTGGGGTTGGGAGGGTGGGAGGCCACAGGAAGTGACTCGGTGTTGAGCTACTGCAGCTTTGCCCAGCATAGATCCTGGGACCAGAGTTGCAGCTGGCATGACCAGGGGAATGTCCACAGAGCACCATTCTCCTCTGGCAGGAGGGCTGCAGAGCCAGTCCCGGAGGCCAGGTGGGCAGTATGGGGCCTTGGCTTCAGGTCAGTGTCCACCTCCCTCCACTCCCATGCCATGGAGCCTGCCCCGGCGGAGAGTGTACCTGGCTGCCGCTGTTCTCTGTTATATCAACCTTCTGAACTACATGAACTGGTTCATTATTCCAGGTGAGGAGGGGAGGGGAATCTTGGGAGAGCATGTCTGTTAGCAGATTGTCTTCACCCCGTACCTTTTCTTCTCTTGGAGCACATCTCTGGTAGTTTTACCCTGGGATGTGGTCTTCTACCTCTCCTGAATAGCCCAAGCTAAAATGAGGCACAGGAGTACATGTGAGCAGGGACAAGAGGAGGTGGATGGGGGAGGCCTGCACTTTGCAGCAAAGCCTCGAGGTTGTGGGTGGAGCTGTAGGCGAGGTTGCAGAGGGCAGGACAGCTTGGCCTAGCTCCCAAGTAAGAATGGCTCTTCTTGGGTCTGTTTCTGGGACAGCAGGCTGCTGGCCTACCTTAAACAGTCTGCCTTCCTTCTTGTAGGTCACACGGTGCAGCCTGCTTCTGTCTTCTGTCACTCATTCCTTTGTGACTGGGACTCAACCTGTTTTTCTCTTCTAGTCACTCACTCATTTGCTCATTTATCCATTGAGAGCCAACATTTTCTTTTCTTTTAAGAAATTATTATTATTGTATATGTACATGATGTTTATTCATAAATAAAATTACTATTATGTGTGTAGGTACACAGACTACAGTGCTTGTTGGAGGTCAGAGGACAACTTTGTGGAGTTAGTTCTCTCCTTCTACCTTTATGTGGTTTCCAGAGATCGATATTAGGTTGCCAGGGCTTACACAGTAGTGCCTTCACCCACTGAGCCATCTTGCCAGCTCTCTTTTCTTTTTTGAGGCAGGGCCTCATATAGCTCAGGCTAGACTCAAACTCATTATGTAGTTGAGGATGACCTTAAACTACTGATATTCCTGCCTTTACTTTCTGAGAGCTAGGATTACAAGCATGCCACTAAAGTGGTTTATCCAGTGCTGGGGATTGAACCCAGGACTTCATGCATGCTAGACAAACACTCTACCAAATAATCCCCAGCCTCGTTTTATTTTTAGACAGGGTTTCAAGTTAGTCAAGCTGGCTTTGAACTCACTATATAGCCAAGAATGATCTTGAACTCCTGATCCTCCTGCCCCTACCTCCCAAGTGCTGAGATTACAGGTATGCCACATCCTTGGACAACCTTTTCTTTTCATCACCCACTTGTTCCAGACTGAGTACTATGAGCAGGAGCCTTTGGCAGGACCCAGAAGGAACTCAGACTTGTGGTTCCCACTGCAGGGTTATCCATCTCTTAGGGCACAGAGGAAAGCTCACTAATAATGATCATGCAAGATAGAGAGATGGAGCAAGATGAGGGGGTACAGGCTAGGCTAGAGAGCTCAGGAGAGGTACCTGCAGCTACTGGCCACGCTTAAGGCCAGGATGTTGATCCGTCAGTTACTGGTTCAGCTGTAGCAGGGAGCATCTATAGAATGAATGGGATCCTGGAGGCTGCAGACATCACCAGAGTGGGGCTCCATCTTTGAGGAACTCAGAGAAGCTCAGAATACATGCCCAGCCCTAGACAATGGGGAGCTGTGGGAGAAAATTTTAAGTGGGAGAATATAGTGAGATTTGAAACCTAGATGGACACAAAATGAGGAGGGAGGTCGGATCAGAAGCCTGATCCCCTTCAGTAGCCTACACTGTAGCTCTCCCTTTGCTTGCCCTGGGGGCCTCTAGTGGGGAACCAGAGTCCTGCCTACACCAGTATCTTCCTGCTTAGAATTTCTACTATCTGTGGTCACTGTGGGAATGAAGACATAGAGAAGTGAAACCGTGCAGAGCTCTTGGGGACTGTTGGGGACAAGTACAGTAGCTAAGGTTCTCTTGTGGAAGCAGCTCTTTAGAAGACCGGGGTGTTAGAGACAGGAGAGTGAGGCTGACTTCACTCTTAAATTTTTAAAAAAATTTTATTTATTATTTTTATTTTATGTGTATGCATGTATTGCCTGCATGTAGGTAAGTGCACCCGTGTTGTGCAATGCGGGAGGAGGTCAGAAGAGGCTGTCGGATCCCTCGGGACTGGAGTTACGGACAGTTGTTAGCTGCCATGTGGGTGCTAGGATTCGAACCTGGGTCTTCTGCAAGAACAACCAGTGTTCTTAACTGCTGAGCCATCTCTCCAGCCCCCAATTTATTTTTATTTTTTATTTATTTATTTTTAGCCTGGTATGGTGGTGCATGCCTTTAGTCCCAGCACTTGGGAGGTAGAGGCGGGCAGATCTCTGAGTTCAAGGCCAGCCTGGTCTACATAGTGAGTTCCAGGCCAGCTGGAGCTACAGGGAGACCCTGTCTCAAAAAGACCAAAAAACGAATTTTTTTTTTTTTATGCGTATGAGTGTTTTGGATGCATTAAAGTGTACCATGTGTGCAGTGCCCACAGAGGCCAGAAGAGGGCATCAGATCTCCTGGAACTGGAGTTACAGACAATTGTGAACCACTGTGTGGGTGCTGGGAATGGAACCCTGGTCCTCTCTAAGAGCCGCCAGTGCTCTTAACCACTGAGCCATTTCTGCCCCAGCTAACTTCACTCTTGGCCTTGGGCTACCCACAAGTTTGAGAGGCGTGCTAGAGGAGTCAAAACAATGGGACTCTCTCCTAAGAATGGGAGATGAGTGCAATCAGAGAGGGTTTAGGTAGCTTTGTCTTGATTACTTGTGTCTTTTTTTTTGTTCTCCAATGACTATGGCACCTTGGGTGTCATTACAAGGTGAAAAGGGCTGGGGATGTAGCTTTAGTTGGCTGAGTTCTTGTTTAGCATGCACAAAGCTGGCTCTGAGCCCTAGCACCTCATAACACACACCTGTCATCCCAGCCCTTGGGAGACAGAATCAAGAGCATAAGAAGTTCAAAGTCATCTTTGGCCATACAGTTCAAAGTCAGCCTAGGGGCTACATGAGATCTTTCCTCAAAAAAAATTTATTTTTTTAAATTTAAAGATGAGCCAGGCGTGGTGGCATACACCTTTAATTCCAGCACTTGGGAGGCAGAGGCAGGTGGATCTCTGTGAGATCAAGGCCAACCTGGTCTACATAGTGAGTGCCAGGACAGCTGGGGCTACAGGGAGACCCTGTCTCAAAAAGACCAACCCCCCCCAAAACAAACCCCACCCCCCAAAAATTTAGAGATGAAAAAGTCATACAGATGTATGTGTTTGGTTGCTATGGTAATTGGGCCCAATTGGGCCCAAACTAGATGTGTAAGCAACCTTTTCTATTTGGTGCCTCTTCCTCTTTGATCTTCTTTCACTGGCTGGTGGGTCTTAGTGGGGTGGATGTGGGGTTTCTTGCAGGTGGAGTAATCTACAGAGCCCCATGTGGGGGAGTTTGCTCTGTTTTGCAATGCTGGATGGGGGAGCTGCCTCTGGCCAGAGATGCAGTCCCAGCTCCTCTCATTCCAGCTAGGCTACCATGGGTAATTGGAGTCTGTGTGTCTGGGATAGTGATGGTATCTATCTGTCTATCTATCTATATCTATATCTATCTATCTATCTATCTATCTATCTATATATCTATATATCTATTTATCTATCTATCATCTATCTATCAATAATCTATCTAGGCTCTCACTATGTAGTCTTGGTTAGCTTGGAACTCACTACGTAGTCTAAGCTGATCATCAAGTCATAGAGAATCTTTTGCATCTGCCTCCCAGCAGGGGGTTGAGGTGGGATTAAAGGTGAGTGCCACCATTCCCTGTCCTTGGTTGTTATTTTTTGAGACAGGTTTTCAGAACTTGCTATGTTGTTGTATAGTCTGGCCTTAAACTCCTGGTCCTCCCGCTTCCATCGCATGAGTGCTGGGATTATAGGTATAAGCTACCATGCCAGGCTTCTGTGTGTGTTATGGGCATGTTTCTCTGTGTGCTTATTGCTGATGCTGTGTGTGGTTGTACACATGTAAAGGTGGGTGGAGATGAAGACAGTGGGCCCAGTTGCCATCTCCTACACTGTGCCTGCCATCTGTGCCTGGCCCAGGCTCAGAGGAAGCTGTCTTGGAGGCTGGGTGGGCTACTTCTCATTTCCTTAATGCTGTCTCTGTCCTCAGGAGTGCTGTTGGATGTCCAGAAATCTTTTCACATCAGTGACAGCCATGCTGGTTTGCTGCAGACGGGTAAGGAAGGAGCAGGGGCCCTTAGGTTACACTGTGGTGGGTTCTGTACACGGGGGGGGGGCGTGGAACCCGAGCTGGAATAGCAGATGTGGGAGGAGGACAGAACTGAGGTTTGAACAGGTCCAGAAGCTGGAGTTAGTACAAAGGGTGCCCTTAGGGAGACAACTGGGGAAAGCTCCTGGGCACTCCTCTTTTCCATCCTACTTGTGAGCTCAGCTGAGTATTCCACAGACATGTAGGAAGTCCCGGTGTGTGCCTTTCTCTCACAGAGCTGAGAAATATGAGTGGTGGGACATAGACAGGCAGGTAAGCAGACAAACAGACCCTGATCCTCAGGTAAGTTCAGAAGGGCTGTGGGCCACCAAGAAACTGAAGTTTAGCAGCAGAAGGCAGCCCTGCTCCATTCCAAGGCAGAGATATGTGGGAATATGAGATATCGGCTAACTTTCTGCATGTGCCTGCTTAGTGATACTCCCTACCTGTGTGTGCCCACAGGTACAGATGGTCATAGCACAGAACTCCCACATGCTCACCCCAAAGCTACCACTAGCACACATTGTAGCTCCCCTCCGTAATTTATCCTCTCAATTGCCCATTATCACACTGATGTAGAGCATAGCTCTCAAACTAGGTACAGGGACATTTAGGGACACACAAAGATGTCCCAGGGGCTGTGTAAACAGAGAGATCTGCTTCCAGATTGCTTGTCACTTTCCCAACAAGATCAGTCTGGAACAAACCTGTGCCAGGTGGGTGGGTGGGAGCCCTTTGTCACCTCCTTGTATAATATGCTGTCCACTGTTTGAAGTAGAAAGAGGTTCTGTATCTAGGTGCTCTGCTTTGTAAAAACTCTGGATGCCAAGTGAAGGGCCTTGCTATGGCTTCTCCAGGGAGGTCTGGGGTACCAAGAGGCCAGCCACAGAAACATCTGGGGATCTTTGCATCAGGCTGTGTGCCCCTGGTGAGGCGCCAAGCCTTATCTGGCCAGCTCTATGTATGACTGTTTACTACTTATCTATGAATTCAAATTCAGAAATGAGATAGTTGTCTCAGTGATACATGTCAACACACTGCTTTTGATTTTAAAAAAGACAAAACCACCAGCTTCCTCATAATCAGTCTGATTTGTCAAGCTGGTTTGTTTAAGCAGGACTGACTTTACTATTTGGGTTCCATAATGAGCCATTCCCATAAACTGACTGAACTCCATCTGTCTCTCCAAGGGCTTGATGAAAATATGGTTTACAAAGAGTCATCCTTCAGTATCTGCAGGGGACCAGTTCCAGGACCCCTGAGGATACATTATCCACAGAGGCTCAAAGCCCTTATATAAAACAGCATAGTGTCTGCAGATAGATACCCTAGCTCATCCTCCTGTATATTCAGATCATCTTCAGAATACCTAATGCAATGAAACTCTATGTAAACCATTGTTACAGAGTATTGTTTAAGGGATAATGACAAGAAAAAAGTCTGTGCATGTTCATTGTGGATACAGTTATTCTTGGAATGGTTTCAATCTGAAATTGGTAGAGCCCAAGTATGTGGGACCTGGAGATACAGAGTTATGTCTGCACACAGTGATGCAGGAAACCTAATCCTTTGCCACTGCTTCAACTTCAGATAAAAATGTACTACTTATTTATTTACATGTTTATTATTATTTTTTCTTGAAACAGGGTTTCCCTGTAGCCCCAGCTGGCCTGGAACTCACTATGTAGACCAGGCTGGCCTCCATCTCACTGAGATCTGCCTGCCTTTGCTTCTCTAAAGGTGTGTGCCACCATGCCCAGATAGTATTTAGTTTTTGAGACAGGGTCTCATATAATCCATACTGCCCTTAAACTCACTATACAGCCAAGAATGACCTTGAACTCCTGGGGCTAGAGAGATTGGCTAATCAGCAGTTAAGAGCATTGGCTGTTCTTGCAGAGGACCTGGGTTTGGTTCCCAGCACCCACATGGCAGCTAACAACTGTCTGTAACTCCAGTTCCAGGGGCTCTGATGCCCTCTTCTGGCCTCTGTGGGCATTGCATGAATGTGGTGCACTTACATACAGGCAAAACATTCATATACATAAAACACAAATAAAAAATTAAAAGTAAAGTTAAAAAAAAAAGAATAACCTTGGGACCGAAGAGATGGCTCTGAGGTTAAGAGCACTGGCTGCTCTTGCAGAGGACCTGGGTTTGGTTCCCAGCACCCACATGGTGCCTAACAACCTTCTGTAACTTGAGTTCAAGGGGAAAGGCACCCTCTTCTGACCTCTGCAGACATTGCACAACACAGGTGCACTTACATACATGCATGCAATACACTTGTACACATAAAACAAAAAAAAAAAACCAAAGAATGACCTTAAATACCTGATGCTCCTGCCTCCACTTCCCCAGTGTTAGGACCATATAGGTATATAGGTGTGCGCTGATAAAAATGCTGTTTTTTTTTTTTGTTGTTGTTGTTGGCTTTTTTTTGAGACAAGGTCTCCCTATAGCCCCACCTGGCCTGGAGCTCACTATGTAGACCAGGCTGGCCTTGAATTCACAGAGATCTACCTGCCTCTGCCTCTCAAGAGCTGGGACTAAAGTCGTGCACTATCACACCGAGCTTTAAAAATGTTTTAAATATCAACTGACAACATATGAAAGGACTGGAAGGTTTAGAAGTGGCTATAGGAGGCCAGGGCTTTTTTTTGAGGAGTCTTTACTCTCAGGGCTCTTGGTCACAATAGGAAGTAGTGGGCCAGGATTTGAACCCAAATGATCTAGAACTTTTTATTTTATTTTATTACTTTAGAGTGTTTATGTGTTGCCCAGGCTGGTTTCAAAATCCTGGGCTCAAGTGATCCTCCTGCCTCAGCCTCCCAAGTACTGGAGACTACAGGCATGGCCACTGAGTCAAGCCTATAATTTTATTTTATTTTTCTATGGTTCTGGGGATTGAACTCTGGGCTTAGAACTTGTGTTTCTAATTTTTAACAATTTTTATTTATTATTTTTATTTTATGTGTCTGAATGTTTTGCCTATGTGTGTACTGCATGTGTGTACTGCATGTGTGCAGTGCCTAAGGAGGGGGTCACATCCCCTGGAACTGGAGCTACAGATGGTTGTAGGTCCTCTGCAAGAACAGTACTCACTCTTAACTGCTGAACCATTTCTCTAGCCCCACTTTTCTAATTTTTTTTTTAAACTTTAAAAAATTATTGTTTGTTTAATTTTATGTATATGCGTGAATTGACTGCATGTAGTGCACCATATCCTGCAATGCCCGGGGAGGTCACGGCTCTTCTGCAAGAAAAACCAATATTCTTAGCTGCTGAGCCATCTCTCCAGCTCCCAACTTTTCTAATTCTTTTTTTTTTTTTTTTTTTTTTTTTTTTTTTTTGTGTGTGTGTGTGTGTGTGTGTGTGTGTGTGTGTGTGTGTGTGTGTGTGTGGGCTGGCCTCAAACTCACAAAGATCTGCCTACCTTTGCCTCCCAAGTGCTGGGATTAAAGGCGTGCGCCACCATGCTCAGCAATTCTTAATCCCCAGAACCTTTGTAAAGGTGGAAGGAGAGAACCAACTCCACAACGTTGTCCTCTGACCTCTACATGCATACTGTGGCACACATGCCTATACACAATCATGCACATACATACACTTGCACACATACAATGCTAATAATTAAAAAATTGTTTTTATTTTATGTGTATGAGTGTATTGCCTGCATGTAAGTGCACCCATGTCGTGCAATGCCTGTGGAAGTCAGAAAAGTGTTTCAGATTCTCTTGAACTAGAGTTAGGATGGCTGTTAGCTGCCATGTGGGTACTGGGCATCGAACCTTGGCCCTTTAGAAGTTCAAACCCAGCCTGGTCTATGCATAGCAAGTTCCAGGATAGCCAGGGACTACACAGTGAAACCGTGTCCTGAAACAAAACAAAACAAAACAAAACAAAACAAATTAAACATCAGCAAGAGAACATACCTGTAATCCCAGCACATGAGAGGTGGAGGCAGAGGGAAGAATCAAGCTTATCCTCATCCTACATAGGGATTTAGAGGTGGCCCTTGGCTACATTAGACCTTGTCTCAAAACCAAAACCAAAACCAAAACCAAAAAACCTCCAACAAAGTCAGGGAGATACCATTCGTTTTTCAACAGATGAACAAAAATGAAATGCTACTTTATATCAGGCAGCAGCAAGACATATATTTCTAAGTGAGTGTGAACTGATATGGCTTTCTGGAGCCCTATTTGGCAGTAGCTATTAAAATTTTATATGCCAGTGACACCAGAGATCATTCTCTGGAGTTTTAGGTTGAACCATATTAAACTGCTGGTTTTGTAGGTCAAAAGTGGCCTAGTTTCCACAGTTGCATATAGCTTAACCCAGTACTAGAGCAGGTCATGGGAGAGTGGGAGGAACTGGAACCTGAGCTGGGCATTCACAGGGCTCGGGAGATGTCAATCATTTATGCTCAGTGAATGGACTCTCAGGTGTTGGGCAGGACCCTCCAAAGCCTTGGCTCCTGGATAGTGGGACTGGGAGGTGGTGGTGTGGTACTGGTGGGGGTCCAGATCTCTTTTTGTCTATCTGCCAGCTCCCCCAGCCTGGAAGAGATTTTATTTAAGGCACAAAGTAGTGCTTTCACGTGTCCATGTGCCACATAGCCAGGTAAAACCAGAGCTACGTCTTGTCCTCATAGAAGAGTAAACACAATACCAATAAGGGGTTGTTTTGTTAAATTTTTTTTAATATGCTGGTGCACGACTTTAATCCCAGCACGTGGGAGGCAGAGGCAGGCAGATCTCTGTGAGTTTGAGGCCAGCCTGGTCTACATAGTGAGTTCCAGGACAGCTGGGGCAACAGGGAGACCGTCTCAAAAAGACAAAAAAAAGAAAAAAAAATTTTTAATTGCATTTATTGATTGATTGGTTGGTTGGCTGGCTTGTTGGTTGATGGTGTGTGTGTGCACATGTGCATGCAATAGCACACATGTGAAGTCAGAGGACAACTTTTGGGAGTGGGTTCTCTCCTTCTACTATGTGGATCTTGGGGATCAAATTCAGGTCTTCAGGCTTGGTGGCAAGGGCTTTTACCTGCTGAACCATCTCAGCCACCCTCCCCCACCTTTTGAGGTAGGGTCTCCATGTAGCCTCAGCTGGCCTGGAACTCCCTATGTAGACCAGGATGGCCTCCATCTCACAGAGATCCACCTGCCTCTGTCTCCTGAGTGCTGAGTTTAAAGGTATGAGCCCTGGCTTGATACGGTATAGAGGGGTTGGGGATGTAGCTCAGGTGGTAAGTTACTTGTATAGCATGCCAAAGCCCCGGATTCGATCCCTAGCACTGCATAAAAATCAGGCATGGTGATGCATGCCTGTAGTACTAGCACTTGGGAAGTGGAGGAAGGAAGGTCAGAAACTCAAGGTTGTCCTTGGCTGCATAGCAAGTTCAAGACAGCTTAGGATACATGAGATCCTGTCTCAAGATAAAAAAAAGTGGTACAGACAGAAGAGTCAGTGTGTGTGGAATAGTGCATGTACTTAGGCATGCCAGCCCTTCCCCCACCTCCTGCATCACTGGTTTGCAGTCCATGTGTTTGTTCTATTTCTCCTCTGCTGGTCCTCTCAGGCCCTGGGCTGACTTCCCTTTCCTCCTGCCTGCAGTGGGTGTCTGAGTGACAAATCAGAGATCAGTCCCTATACCCAGGCTCACAGAAGTCACATATTCTTGCAAAGCCAAAAGGTGAGCATCCACTGGAAGCTGGTGGCTCTTTGTTCCCTTCTTGTGTCCCTTTATGCAGTCAGGAGGAGAATGCCAGCTTCCTAGGGCTGGGGTGACACTCAGAGGCCACACAGCAAGCATGTAGCAGAACTGGGATTTGGCCCAGGCCTAGTACCACACACTCTGGGCTGTGGGTTCTATATTGGACCTGGAATGTAAGATTCAACTTTTATCTTTTCTTCCTCATGTCCTGGGCCCACTGCCAAGTTGCCAGCTTGTAGTATCTGTGCCAGTCTCCTTCCCTGGGACGGCAGTGCTGTCTGCCCAGTCACCATCTTGGGGGATCCAGGCTGCCCCTTGTGTGTCTCCTCCAGTCTTCATCGGTTGCCTGCTGGTGTCTGCTCCCGTATTTGGCTACCTGGGTGACCGCCATAACCGCAAGGCCACGCTGAGCTTTGGGATCCTGCTGTGGTCAGGGGCTGGCCTCTCCAGTTCCTTCATCCCCCCCAAGGTAGGGTCCACATCCCTTCCCAGTCCCTGGGACCTTCCCCATCTGCTTCCTCCTTGGTCCAGTTCCCTCAGAGCTCCCTTCTAGCCCAGGCAATTCAGGAATTGCACTGCCAGGGATGGGAGAGGAACTGCAGTACAGCCTCCAGGCCTGAGCAGAGAGACTGTTAATAGGAGGTTTCCTGGTCCTCCACTTCACTTCATTACCAACTTTGATGGGTTTTATGAGGGAATGGGTTTGGGGTTAAGCTCCTGCCTTGAGAAATCGCCCTTGTTAGCAAAGAGACCCTTTGGAAGGGTTCCCCTTAGTCATGGCAGGCAGAGACTGTAGGTACTAGCAGGGGTACACGTGCTTTGGGGAACATGGTGGGGTAACCGCAGGCCTGATCCCTATTTTGTTCCCTCGAGCCTTTGTCATGAGGTCCCTTTGGGCCCTCTTTAACACATCCTCTAGCCTCTTATCCCATGGGCGATTTCAGATCTCATTATGTTCTTGTGCGGCTCTCCTAGTATTCTTGGCTCTTCTTCCTGACCCGGGGGGTCGTGGGCACTGGTGTGGCCAGCTACTCCACCATCGCACCCACCGTCCTGGGTGACCTCTTCGTGAAGGACCAGCGGACCCGCATGCTGGCCATCTTCTACATCTTTATTCCTGTTGGAAGGTTTGTATTGCCCCTGAATCTACTTCCCTAGGAAGTAAACTGAGGCCTGAAGGATTCAGAACAGGGGCTGGGCTGGAGGTAGGAACTCTGAACCACGAAGGCTGGGATCTGAATTCAGTCGCTCCTTCCTCCCCTTCACTGCATCTCTCTGAGCCTCAATTTAGTCAGCTGTAAATAAATGGGGACAATATTCCTACTCCATGGGACTGTGTGTACATGTGTATGTGGGGAGGGTTAGAGGCAATGTGGCCTGCTGGGGAGGGTGGCCCTGGGAGACCAGTGAGGAAATGTCAGAGCCATGTCTGCAGCCGCTGAGCTCTGACCCATTTCCTGAAACCTGTCTGACTCAAGCAGGCCTGGGCTTTGGACACTAGGGCTGGGGTTGGTGGTGGGGTGTACATGTCCTTATATGGAATGAGTGGCACTGGGGGCTAGGAACCAGAGGTCAGAGGGACCTGACTGAGGGCAGCACACACCTGGGCCTCCTATGACTCATTTTCTCAGGGAAAGGGCTCTGAGCCTGCAGAGAACTGGCTCCCTGGGCAGAGTGCACTCAGATCAGGTTGGCCTTGGACCTGACTGCGTCTCCCTTGTCCTCTTTCGCAGTGGTCTGGGTTACGTGCTGGGGTCGGCTGTGGCAGAGCTGACCGGGAACTGGCGTTGGGCCCTCCGAGTGAGTCTCATTTCCTTCTCTTCCCTTTGCTCCCCCATTCCTACCCCCACTGGTCAGTAGGGACTTTCCAGCCTCCAATGGCCTTAGCCACTTGGCACAGTACCTGGCGCCATGGGGGGTGTTGGACGTCGGCAGCTTTGGATACTTAGAGTCTCATGGGGAACATGGACTATGGAAGTCGTGACCGTGGGGTCAAATCCCAGCTGCTCATTTTACTGATTGTGTGGCCTTAAGCCAGTTGCTGCCCTCTTTGGAGCCTCAGCTTCCCTTGTAGTAAACATAGAAGCTACCTATGGAACCTCAAAGATTATTTGGACTGGAAAGTTTTTAGGCCAGGCCAGGCACAGAGCAGCCTTAAGGACTGCCACCTGGGGTGACTTATTAGTGGAGCTGGGACACCTGGGAATATACCTGGAAGGCTTTATTGGCTTGTGACCATCATTAGAACAGGGATATGTACTACTCATTAGAAGGAACTGGGTGCAGAGTGGACTGGGGCTTGGTCCTATATGCAGATTTCTGCTGAGATGCCATGGAAAGCAGAGACAGGAGTCTGGGGGTGGAGAAAGGCTACAAGAAATCTGGCCTGAATTGCTTCTCACCATCTAAGCTGCCCCAAGGCAGGTAATGAGATCTCTGTCCTATGTACAGGGGTACTAAGAGAGGGTGGCAGGGTATGACTGGTGTGACAGGTGGAGGCATGGGGCAGGAAAAGGGCCAGTTCTTGGGACAGTGAGTATTCAGTGGTCTGAACTGCTCTTTTCAGCCATCTTAGGCTTCCTGGCTCCAGAAAAGGAGTGTTCACACTGGGCATCAATCAGGTCTCAAGGGGACCACATTGACTAGAGAGACTACTCTCTCTATAAGTTACTGGCCAGCTCTGTGTATAAGCAGCACCTGGGACCCAGGGTTGGAACAGAGGTCAGACCTTGTGGAGGTGATCTCTCCAGTTTCTCAGGCTGCCCTAGCATTTGGCCCTGAGCTTCCTGACCCTCCTGTCCTCAGATTACACCCTGCCTGGATGCCATAGCCTTGATTCTGCTCATCCTGCTGGTTCCAGACCCACCCCGAGGAGCTGCTGAGAATCAGGGGGAAGTGGCTGTAGAAGCTCCAAGGAGCAGCTGGTGCGAGGATGTCAGATACTTGGGGAGAAAGTGAGTGTCCTTATTCTCTGCTGCAAGCCCCAGGAAACCCCTCTGGCCCAACATTTCCGTCCTCCCTCTCTCTGCCTCCAGAGGGCTCTCCCTGGTTGTCTCTGTGTTCATGGCTCTCTTCCTTCTCTGAGGTCCACTTAGAGCTGAGATCATCTGCTGACATGCTCCTCTGTCACTTGGGGCTCAGCCTCCATGCCCTCCACACAAGGCAGTAGTGGGGCTGAGAGTGGGGCTGGTGGTATGAGCTCCAGCCTTGCACTGGCCCCATTTATTCAATGGACACATTTCTCTGGCCCCACCCATTCCCTTGGCTTCTGGGAGGATGCTGGGAGTTTGTTCATCTGTCCAAGCTGCATAGAAGCAACATTAACCCCTGACTCAGGCTTAGATGCGGAGGCAGAAAGAGCTCACCTCCCCCGAGTCCCAGGCCTCATAAATCACTGCATCATGGGGCACAACAGCACCCAGGTCTCTGGGTTGCAGTCATGAGACCCGTTTTAGGAACTCCCAGGGAGATGGTACAGTTTTTTGGAGATCAAGATGCTGAGTGGGACCCTTCAGGATAGGGAGACGTTGTTTTGTGGAGGAGGGAAGAAGGTATGTTGTAAGGAGTTGGGGGCATTTCAGAACATCGGAGAAGCTGTAGCCTGCATGCCCAGATCAGATGGGGCGGTGGTCAGGCCTCTTTAAAGCCCTGGCCCTATTCTGGCTTCAGCCAGGATGCTTTCTCTTGCAGCTGGAGTTTTGTGTGGTCGACCCTTGGAGTGACAGCCATGGCTTTTGTGACTGGAGCCCTGGGCTTCTGGGCACCCAAGTTTCTGTTTGAGGCCCGCGTGGTCCATGGCTTGCAGCTTCCCTGCTTCCAAGAGCCGTGCAGCAGCCAGGACAGGTGAGGGAGGGCTGGGGAGCATTGGGTTCACTCCCTTGCCGGGCAGTTCCCAGCAGGCTGGGTCTTTCCAGGCATATGACACTCTGTGAAGAGGGCAGAGCTCTGGACCCTGAGCAAGCAAGAGGCCTGGGTTCCAGCTCTGCTTGAGCCTGCTATCCTCTGTGACCACAAGCAGCTCCCTTGGCCTCTCTGGGCTGGAATTCCTGTCTTCCCACTCTTAGATTTGGGGGTCTGGAAGGTACCAGAGGGGAAGGCTTTTGTGGGGATTGGGAAATGATGGAAATCTTTGATGATTGCCCTTCATCCTTCAAAGGGGCTCCTAGTATCTTCTGTGAGGTCACCCCATTTTACAGATTGCAAATTGAAGACTTCATGTGTATGGTTTAGGAATGTCAGGTATGCATTCATTTCTTCTCTGCCCCATCAGTGTACCTAGAGACCCAAGAGAGCTGCTGGTGGGTGGGTAGGGCTGTATTCTCTCTTGGAAATATTACTCTACTTCTTGCCTGGCCAGCCCTTCCTTGTCTCCCCTTCACATCTCTGGTGGCACTCTCCCTGTCCTGTGTCCCCTTTTCTTTTTGATCCAGCCCCACTAGTTCCTTGGACTTCTCAAGGCTCTGTGTCCTTCCCTGGAGCCCTGTCAGTTCTCTGTTGGTCATACTGACATGTGTTTCCTCTTCCCCACTCTCCTTTCTTTAAAAAAAATTATTTATTTTTATTTTACGAGTGTTTTGCCTGCACGTATGTAAGTGTACCCATGTCATGCAATGCTGGCAGAGGCCAGAAGAGGGCATTGGATCACCTTGAACTGGAGTTATAAGTGTTTGTTAGCTGCCATGTGGGTGCTGGAAACTGAACCACTGAGCCATCTCTCCAGCTCCTTGCCTCTACCTTACTCCCTTATACAGAGGGAGTTTTGTGTAATTTCCAGAGTGTGTATGGCTTCTGTTGTCTGAGCCTCTGCCCCAGTATGTACTCTGTTCATAGCTACTCCCTTCCTTTTTCTTTTTTTTTTCTCCCTCTTTTTGAGATAGGGTCTCTCTGTAGCCCCAGCTGGCCTGAAATTTGCTATGTAGACCAGACTGGCCTTGATCTTATAGAGAGAGCCACCTGGCTCTGCCTCTGAGTACTGGGATTAAAGGTGTGCACCACTATGCCTGGCTCCTTTTTCTTTCTTTTTTAAAATTTTATTTATTATTTATTTCATGTATATGAGTGTTTTGTCTGCATGTATGTAAGTGCACCCATGTCATGCAGTGTCCATGGAGGCCAGAAGAGGGTGTCAGATCCTCTGGAACTGGAGTTTCATATATTATTTTTATTTTATATGTATGAGTGTATTGCCTGCATGTGTGTAAGTGCACCTGTGTCATGCAAGGAGGTCAGAAGAAGGTGTTGGATTCCCCTGGAACTGGAGTTATGGATGGTTGTTAGCGTCCATGTTATGTGCTGAGAATCAAACCTGGGTCCTCTGCAAGAACAGCCAGTGGCTCTTAACCACTGAGCCATCTCCCCAGCCTGCCCTTCCTTTTTCTTATCCATATTTATTTATTTTGCAATGCTGGGAATAGAACCCAGGCTTTACACATTCTAGGCAAGCACTCTTCAGGGTGAATTCTAGGCAAGTACTCTACCACTAAGCCATGCCCTCAGCCCCTCACTGGTGGATTCTAGGCAAGTGCTCTACCATTGAGCCATACCACCACTCTAAATGTTTACTTTAGGTCTTATGTCAAGCATTTTACATAAAGTATCCACAAAGGAAGGTATGCCTACTGTCTCTGTTTTACAAATGAAGAAATGGAAGATCAGACAGGTTAAGTGATTTGTCCAAGGTCACAGCTAAGAAACAACAGCCAGGATTCAAACCTACCTGACTCCAAAGCTGGTGCTTGGAAGCCCTGTATCCTGTTTCCTGGTCCTGTTATTGACTTGTGTATTGCCCGACCAGATGGCAGGGCTTTCTGGTATGTAGGAGGTGCTCAGGGAAAATTTTGTGAACAAACTCAGAGACAGACTGTGAGATTTGTCTTGGGTCTGCAGTAAGATTACTCTCTGGGGCCAAAGATGAACTATTCCTAAACACCTCAATAAGAAGAAAAACAGGGTTTGACCCCACTTTAGGCATGCATCAATTCTTGCCCCTTGAAACCACCATCTCCCTCCTTCCTTCCTTCCTTCCTTCCTTCCTTCCTTCCTTCCTTCCTTCCTTCCTTCCTTCCTTCCTTCCATTTTTATTTTATGAGTGTTTACCAGCATGTATGTAAGTGCACCACGTGTGTAGTGCCCTCAGAAGCCAGAAGAGGGCATTAGATCCCCTGGAATTGGAGTTACAGACAGTTGTAAATTGCCATGTGGGATTGGGAACCAAACCCGGATCCTCTAAAAGCAGGGAATGCTCTTTATCACTGAGCCATCTCTCCAGGCCCCCACCATTTCCTCCTTCGTAGTCCTCAGTTCCTGGCTCAAAGCCCCTTCACAGCATCTGTGTAAGAACTGATGGGGCATATTTGTTTCTTATGATGGATGTAACAAATGTCTACACACTTGATCGTCTAAAGTGACAGAAATGTAGGCTCAGACTGGGAATATGGCTCAGTTGATAGAGTGCTTGCCTAGCATGCACAAAGCCTTGGGTTTGATCCCAGCACTACATAAACTGGAAGCAGTGGCTTAGGCCAGAACATGAAAATAGTTCCAGTGGGCCCAAATCAAGGTATCTGCAGAGCCCTGTTCCCTTGGAACTCTGAGGGACCCTTGCCTCTCCCAGGTCCTGGTGGCCAGTAGCATTCCTTGGTTGCACTGCTCTGGCATCTGTTTCCAAAGTCACACCATGCTGCCCTCTCCTCTCCTGGCTGGAGTTCTTCCAGTGAGCACAGCTGTGATTGCCTTCAGGGATCATCTGAATAAGAGAGGATTGACACTCCAGGCAGGACTCTTAACAGTTGCAAAGTGTTTTCCCCTAGTAGATGCAGAGACATGTTGGGAGGCCACTGATTCTGCCTACCACAGAGTGGTAGAAGGTTCCTGTACTGGGGCTACTATAGCCCCCTTGGCTAGGACTGGCTCCATCTACATGTGAGGGAGGAGTAGGAAGCTTCCCACACAGCCACAGGGAGAGCTTCCAACCCTGGAGCTGAAGTGGCTCAGGGGAAGGAGCTGCATGGGGAGCAGTGAGCATCCACCTCCCGGCATGTGCAAGTGGAGCCTTGATGGTGATCACCAGAGTCACTGTATAAGGGGGGGGTGGAAGAGCTTACAGGGCCCTCTTGGCTCTGGGGGCCTGAGATCCTATGTGGTGGTGGGCCTCAAGGTCTCAATGGCTGAGGGGTGTCCTCTGCTGGCACCACGTTGAATAATCAATCCTAAGACTCTCAAAGGTCATGAAAACCTGCCTCTGGGGACTCACTGTGGGACTCAGGATCTGGAGTCACTTGACTTGGCTGAGATGTGGACCCTTGCTCAGCTTGGAAGGCTGGGGAAGTTCGGGAGGACCATTACACTACCCAGGGACATCCCTGATTCTACCTGGTGAAAGAGGGCTGGGAGGCTCTGGCCTTGCCTTTGTTGGGCAAGAGCCTGTACTCTGGGCTCCTCATGCCCTGCTGCACAGAGAGGATAGATCCATGAGTCCTCAGCCTGTGGAGTGGACAGTTTACTGCTTAGTTGGGGATGGTTTTCATGGTCCTCAGTTTGTAGGTGACTAGTGTTTCATGGTTATATTCTGTGTGTGTGTGTGTGTGTGTGTGTGTGTAGTACATGTGTGCATATGTACATATGGAGCTCAGAGTTCAATCTCGGATGTTGCATCTCAGGGGCTGTCTACTTTTTTTTTTTTTAAGAAATAAAGTCTCTCATTGGGTTGGGGCTTGCCAATTAGGCAAGGTTAGCTGGTCAGTAAGCCCCAGGAATTGTCTTGTCTCTGCCTCTCCAGTGCTGGGATTATTAGAGAATGTCACCATGCCTGATTTTTAAAAAATATTTTATTTATTAAACTAAAAA